CTGTCTCCCTCTCTCTCTGTCTCTCTCTGTCTCTCTCTCTCTCTCTCTCTCTCTCTCTCTCTCCCTCCCTCTCTCCCTCCCTGTTTCTGTCTCTTTCTCTCCCTCCCTGTTTCTGTCTCTCTCTCTCCCTCCCTGTTTCTGTCTCTCTCTCTCCCTCCCTGTTTCTGTCTCTCTCTCTCCCTCCCTGTTTCTGTCTCTCTCTCTGTCTCTCCGTCTCCCTCTCTCTCTCTCTCTCTCTCTCTCTCTCTCTCTCTCTCACTGTCTCTCACTGTCTCTCACTGTCTCTCTCTCTCTCACTGTCTCTGTCTCTCTCTCTCTGTCTCCCTCTCTCTCTGTCTCTCCCTGTTTCTGTCTCTTTCTCTCCCTCCCTGTTTCTGTCTCTCTCTCTCCCTCCCTGTTTCTGTCTCTCTCTCTGTCTCTCCGTCTCCCTCTCTCTCTCTCTCTCTCTCTCTCTCTCTCTCTCTCTCTCTCTCTCTCCTTTCTTTGGTTAAGTCATTTTCAGAGCACCGGTGGCTGGCGCCTGGAGAAGTCTGAGGAGCAAGAGGAATTCTCACAAGCTGTTTGGCAGAGAGCCTTTGTTCTAGTAACATAGCACATCAGGTTTAGAACATACATGCACAGGCAAAAATTATTTGCATAATCGGCACATGTTTTGAGCTGAGCCAACAATAAGAGCCTACCAAAAATCATTCAGTCAGGAATCTTATCACATCGTCCATCAGTTTTGTTTTAAATGCTTGCTCAGCTGATTTTTGCAGAATCCTGGATTGTGAGGTTTCAAATTGGTGCATCTAAAAGCAAAGGGAGAAGAGTTTTTAGGTAATGTTAGGATCTGGAGTGAGAATGGGATATTTTAAAGGGGCAATTAAGAAGCATAACACAGCTCCAAAAAATAAACTCAATAACTTTTCCCTGAACAAGATTATATAGTAGCTGAGTTTCAGATGTTACAATAAAGCACATTTGTGGCAAATTTATGAAATCACTTCTAACTCAAGGTGCATGTCAGATTTGTTTCATTTACCTGGTTTGGAATAACCGTCATTGCTGTTTATGAGAGGTCCTATGCACAACACAAAAACAGATTCAGTTGATGCGCTGTGATGACACTTTTTATCCCTCTGAGCTAAATCACCATCACTCCCCCTACTGTACAAAAAGCAAACAATTCTCAAATTTAAATCTCTGAAATAAGCAGAGGTGTATAAAGTATTTGGAAAAACAAAAACACGAAGTCAAAGTAAAACAAAAATGGAAAATTACTTTGGTAAAAAAAATGAATTCCACCAGTAAGAAAAATATTTAAGTAAAAGTCATAAAACTGCTCACAATAATCAGGAAAGTAAAAGTAYTTTTACACATGCCAAAAAAGTAGTGTTGGAATTACTTAACTAATTTATGTCAGTTGGTTCCACTAAATTGATTTGAGTAAGTATAAAGCAATTTACAAAAAAAAAAAAAAACCTCTATTTGCTAAACTCAGTCTAGTGGAACCAGTTGACAATACTTGGTTAAGTAAATTCAACAGTACTTTTTTAGAGTGTATGAACAATTCTTTTAAGATGAGTTCCTGACATATTTAAGTTTGTAGTGTGTAAAAAGGTGTTTCATTTTAAAGTAAYGAAGTAAAATGTATATATTTTTAATGTAACAAAATAAAAGTAAAAGTTTTAAATAAAAAAATTATAGATCCTCAAAAAATTACCTAATGTAACAAAGTAAATGTGCTTTGTTGCTATACACCTCTGTAAATAGGTGAGTTTCATCACTGTTGTGGACTCAACAACAGGAATGACCCACAGATCAGAGAACTTAGACAAATTTATTTTGTTATGATTTTTAAATAAATTTCTTCTATCAAAGTTAGGCAGCAGCAGCAACAATGATTCCTGTCTGTTTTGTGACTTTGTTTCTCCTTTGTGAGAGACATTTGTTCTCCTTCTTCAGATATACAATACTTCAATGGCGCTTTGACAGCCCTCATTTTCCTCTCAGTCCCAGCATGTTGTCTGCGTCTTGCACTTTGACAGCCTCTACTGTAGGTATTCCTGCAAACATGGAGGAATGCATGAGAAATATAGCTGGGAATGCTACTTGAAATTCATACCAACCAACAAAGAAGGCAGTCACGAGTCTTTCACAAAGCTCCAAACCAACATTGCAGCGATCTCACTCATCAATATTCCTGCTCTGTTTTCAGCCCAGAGTTTCATGAAACGAAGCAAAGTAAATGTTGCATTGCCTGTAATGACATAGTGCTGTCTGGCTGCTCTGCCCTCCAGGAACATATAGCCTCTACTGAAACCAACCACTATCAAGCTGTGGTTTTTTGGTGTACTCAAGGGGTGAAGGGATATTCAAACTTTTAGCATTGGTTAAAAATAGCTTTCCTTCTCTTTAAAAAAAAAGAAAGGCCCTGCTAATAATTGCAGCTTTGTGCTGGCTGCCCAAAGCGTCTGGTCTAAGTATGTGTCATTTTTTAGGAGGAGCCTGGGAATCTGTAGACGCCACGCTTGCTGCCCAGAATTAGAACCATGGGAATGATTGAAGAGGTATTTTTTTGTGTGTGTGGGCCAGTAACCTGGAACTAGCCAGCTCCAGGATTAGACTGCATCCCTTGCTCCTTTTGCGGCTGTTGAGCCAGGCATAACTCACTCAGTGGCTGGTTCGCCAAAAACAGATGATTTTATAGTAACACAGAAATGACTGGGTACACAATGAGGTCAGGGAATCCTGAACTGACATGTCATATCTCGCACAGACACAATATCACAAAGCAAGAAAGAGTTTGACTGGCTTGTCATGGATGAGCAAAAATGTCTAAAAAAGTAGACTATTAAAAGGCAGCACCTAATATTTTGTTACATCCAGTGTCTAAAATGCGGATTGCAATTAACTAATTAGCTAACTGAGTTAAAAATGGAATCACCCTTTACTGCTGATAACAGTTCAGATCTTCTCATCAGGTTTCATTGTAAAATTGAGCTTCAGTAGTAAAACAAATTCCTCAGCCTAACAAGCTAAAAGCAACAGTATACCTCCACTCCGTATCTTTGCGAAAGAAAACAGGTGCAGACGTGTGAAATGTGTCAGGTAGAAAACCATCATATAATCACCCAGCTGAGGAAGAAAAGTTGCAGCTTCTGTTAACTTAGCTAAAGATTAGCTTTTTTAAACAGAGAGAGGTGTTCGAGGGAGACAAACTGGTTAATGAGTGTATTTAGACAGGGACTTGTCAGGCCTTTAGAGTTTAACCTTAAAAAGGTGAAACACATTTTCTGAACAGAGCATGTGCTTCTATTTGCAAGATGTCAAGTCCTTGAAGGCCACTATCCTGCATGTTTTAGATGTTTCTCTGCTCCAACACACCTGGTTTGAAAGAGTGGGTGATTAGCAGGCTTCTGTAGAATTTGAAAAGGGGATTCAATCACTGAATCAGGTTGTTTACATCAACTGTATATAGCCTTCTGGTCCACACTCCATTCCAGTAGGTGGCGGTAATGCCCTAATAGCAGTTTACCAACCGCCATTAAAAAAAGAAGAAGAAGAAATCAGGTGTGTTAGCTTTATAGCATTTGAAAAAAGGTTGGCATAGTAAGGAAAACAGGATGACATAAAAAAGGAAGAAATGATAATATCCAGATTACGTTTTGCTCATACAGGGTTAAATAGTACTTTAATAGGAAAACATGCTAAAGGGAAATGTGATTTTTGTCTCCAAGAAGAAACAGTAGACCTTGTGTTATTGTTTTGYCCCAAGTATATAGTTGAGAGAAGGGAGCTGGTACGTACCTTACAGGACAACAAATTGCAACTGGACATAAAAGACCTTTTGGACAAAGACTCTAAAGGAATAGGGTTTAGAACTAGATATCGTAAGAAGACAAAATTATTGGAGAGAATCCAGGGTTTTTTTCCCCTACATTCTGATCCACGATCCACTCTAGCAGGTGGTAGTAATGCACCAAAACCTTGTTTGTCAACGGTCGGTCATTAACAAAAGAAGAAGAAGAAGAAGAATCAGGTGTGTTGGAGCAGGATGGTGGCCCTTGAAAACCAGGTTTGGACATCCCTGTTCCATTTATCTGTGCTTGTTTGTTCACTTTAACTGTATTACGGTAGAAATATTTGGAAATGTTTCAGTTTTAAAGGTAGGTAAATTTATAATCATTTTAGTAACTGAGTTTTGAGTTTTACTTTTGTGTATTAGGTTGTGCAGATGTAACCCAAACTCTTAGAAAAGCTAAAAAAATAAGGTTGCTTAATAAATAACTGAACAATATTGACAGCATAACAAGTTAAATAAGACTATTCCTGTGGTACTGTATCAATACTTGTCGCATGACAAAATCAGTTCCAGAAGTTATATGTTCATAAAAAATTGGTTTACTATCAAAAACATAATTACTCAAAAAGTGTGGGTTGGATGGATGGATGGATGGATGGATGGATGGATGGATGGATGGATGGATGGATGGATGGATGGATGGATG